GAATGACATTAAATACGAGCGCTTCAAATGTGTCCAAGAATTGCTGTGTAATGTGTAAAAGGGTTCATTATACTAGCTAGCTTCCTTCTGTGGTAGCAGCACTAAGGCGTGGGGGAGGGGCAGAGAAAGAGATAAGAGATAGGTATCAGGATCCCTCATTTTTCTCAATCAATGGAAGAATCCTCTCAAGAAAATGCAACAGTTGCCTCTTGGTCACCGAGAAGTATTTCAGAAAATAACTCTAACTATTTTAATGTTTAAAATCCTCATCCTTCTTGTAGAAATATCAGTAAACCGTGTACCTGAACTATTTATTTTCCTCATATAAGGCAGCAGAAAACCTACAAAGATCCTAAAGCTTGCCCTTACAATTCTAATGAGACAGTATAGAATGGAGAGTCACATATACTACCTGCCTGAAAACTCAGCTTTCCCTGGGAATGAACTCAGCCTGAGAGCATTTTGGAGATTATGACTAATGATTAACTGTGCTTCTACTTTTCTGATCGCTGGCTGCCCAGTACTAAATAAAATGCACCACAAAGAACATAAATAATATAACCAATACGTATTAGAGCTTTATTTTTTTTAAAAAAATGCTTTTGAAAATTAAAAGAAAAGACAAACACTTGGGAAGTACAGAGACGTGAAAGTTCAAAAAGTTTTTCACAAACTTAAGGCACACCCGGTGTGGGCTATGGAAGGCTTTTCAAGAGACACCTGTCAATCTTGTCGCCCAGGATAGCAATAGAACAGAAACCAATGAAAGGGTTCACAGGTAAGATTTACAAATGGTTTGACATTACAAGCTTGCCCAAAACCCCGGAGCCAGTAATTTGCCTTCAACAGGATAAGAAATGGGAAATCAGATTCATTTATAAGGAGGTTTAGCGATGGACTGATTATGTTGATATTTCCGGGGTCTATTCCAGCAATGGATAAGAACCTTCTGGATAGAATAGTTTTCTCCAATACTCAGTAATTAATATGCTTATTATCAAATGAATTTTATAAGTGATAAACTCTTCAGACCAGAAATCACCTGGATTTATGCATTCTGTAAGCTGTGTATAAATTAAGCACGCTCTTAAAATTATAAGGGTGCTATACAGTGAAACTGGTGAAAACATGGGATTTACCGAGGTCAAGGCAGACTACCACCATTTTGAATTTCTGAAGACAGTACTGTCATGCTTTTTGGTGTGCCTGAATGACTGACTACACTTTTGTCAAGTCAATCTATCTTTGGCTTGAAGAAGAACTTGTCACTTGGAGTATACCATAAAATTTAAGTGGGATTTCAGTTCCAAGTACATAGAATGAATAATGTCTCCCCCTGTTACCACAAATAATTAAAACTATTTTAGGAAAAGGCCCGTTTCCAAATGAGACTCTCTAATAGGTGAATTCAATAGTGTTGTCCTACAAATACAAATCTTGGCGGGGTTGGGGGTAGGGGGCCCCAGTCCTAAACCTAACTGCATAAACATCTGTATAAACAAGTATGGGGTGGGGGGTGGCATATCCTTTGACTACAGGTTCAGAACTACCCGAGGTAATGCAGCTTCCGCCCCGGCCTGGGCTCCCTGATCTCCAACATTCAGGGATATTAGAGACCCACACAAACCCAGGCCCCGCCCAGCAGTCTGGAGCCAAGGGAGATTTCTATTCCACCTCACCCACCCTGCTTTTTGTTTGCTTGTTTTTGTTTTTCATGCCTATGGTTGTAAATGTGTAAGATAAGAAAACAAATCAAAAGAGGTAAAGCCCTGATTAGACAGCCTTCTTAACCGAAGCCAGGCAGAGAGAGAACCAATCGATATTTAGTACTTTGGACATATTGGCCCTATGAAGGTAAACAATAGCAATAAAACAGAAAAGAATCCTATTCGTCTTTATTTTTATCATCATCATTATTATTATTTGGCTCTGGTTGATTATTGCTTTTCTTTAGGGCTTTCCAAAGAGAGGGCCCAATCTGAGAACTAAATATAATTGCTCTGTGCCCTACCAGAGCACAACTATAATCCAGCAGCCAATTCAAGAAAATCAAGATCAACATTTTCTTTGCAACCGGTTTTCAAGATTTTATCTCATAAAAAGGTTAAGTTAAAATACCCTGTCCTTTCAGGGGCCAACGTGAATTTTTAAGCTAATTATGTTTAAAAGAAAAATAACTAGTAAAGGATGACATTAATTTTTCTTTCCTTTTTGTGGTACATAGAATTCAACTCTATACTTAAGATTTAAGGCTGTTTATTTTCATTACACTCGTCACACATACTTCCCACTGGTATCTGTGGGAGATGCATACATGAAATACAGTTGAAGCTGGAATATACTCCCATTCAGCATAGCCTTGACGTTTACATCAGTCTAATGAATAGGGTAAATTGTCACAAAATTGATTTTAAACTGTTATTTTCAGGCAGTCATTCTTCAAGTTTATCTGTTAACTTGCTAAACTATGAAGTTTACAGCTTATGTCTCGTCCATTCAAGTAAGCAGTATCTTTTCATTTTCAAAAGTAAGCTCTGGCTGAGGCTCGCTATCTCCTTCCAGGTAAGGTCAGGATCCTGGGCTTGCTTCCACCTACGGATAGTATTAGAACCCAGGCGTGTGCACACCGCGGCCTCCCCTTAGTCCCGCAGAGGGCCGATGTGGCACCCTGGAGAGAACACGACCCGAACAGCAAAACTTTCTGGCCGCAAACTCTACCGCTGTCGGCCCGCGATGAAAAGCTACCGGGCACTGAGAACGGGGCTGGCTTTTGTTCCAGCGGTGCCCAACTGGCGAGGTCAGGCCACGGCGGTCCTCCATCCCGGAAAGTCGGGGTGGGGGGGGATTCCGTGGTACCGAGGTTTGGGAGCCTCACGAAAGCAGCCCATTTCTACGCCATCTGTGAGCGTGGGGTGTACACATGAAAGAGGGCGCGGAGTAGGCAAGGACGGAATCCTCAGTGCCCCTCAAATCCTGCTTGTCTCAGGTCCGCAAAGTCAGTCTCCC